CGCCCACCCCCCCCCCCCCTTCTCTTTCTCTCGGTGCCCAGGCCTTGGAGGGAAATGCCGACAGTCTCCAGGAGGTCTCCAACACGTTCCTCCCCCCCATCCTGGCCCGCTACCTGCGCATCGTGCCGCAGAGCTGGAACCAACGGATTGCCTTGAAGGTGGCACTGCGGGGCTGCCAGGTGGCTCGTCTCAGGGCGCCCCGGCCCTATGGTGAGAGGCTCTGCAGGGGCTGGCACAGGAGGCCTTGGAGGGAAATGCCGACAGTCTCCAGGAGGTCTCCAACACGTTCCTCCCCCCCATCCTGGCCCGCTACCTGCGCATCGTGCCGCAGAGCTGGAACCAACGGATTGCCTTGAAGGTGGCACTGCGGGGCTGCCAGGTGGCTCGTCTCAGGGCGCCCCGGCCCTATGGTGAGAGGCTCTGCAGGGGCTGGCACAGGAGCCCCCTGTCACACAGAAGTGAGGTTTTCACTAGCCAGCTGCAATACGCTCCAGCATGGAGCTGCATTGGCCTCATCGCTGCATGGCTCTAGCGTGCAGGGGGCCACCCTCCTCTCCAGTGGCTCCCTGGGGCCAGAGGGTGAATCCCAAGACATCGCTGCACCAGCTAGCTAAGGATTACAGCTTTGCAGCAGGGACTGGGGCAGAGGGAGATGAATTCCATCCAAGGGCCGGAGCCAGGCGGCAGCTGCCTCTGCTGGGCTGGGCTTAGGTCTTGTAAGCCAAGCAGGGTTGGGCTGTGTCATGCCTCCATTGGGAGGCTCACCCTGGGTACGCAGGTAGGTTGGAAGGGAGCCAATCCCCAGGGAAGGGCTGGGGTCCTTTCCCTTAAAGATCCTAGGGCAGGTTAGCCTGGCCTAGATCCTCAGCTAGTGCATCCTGCTCCTCTACATTCCCCCTGCAGTTGGGTTTTCTCTCCTTCCTGTCCTCACCTGGGGCTGTGTCTAGACTGGCAAGTTTTTCCACAAAATCATCTGCTTTTCCGGAAAAACTTGCCAGCTGTCTACACTGGCCGCTTGAATTTCCGCAAGAACGCTGACGATCTCAGTGCTTCTTGTGGAAATACTATGCTGCTCCTGTTCGGGCAAAAGTCCCTTTTGCGCAAAATTTTTGCGCACTAGGGCCAGTGTAGACAGCTGAGATTTGTTTTGCGCAAAAAAGCCCCAATCGCAAAAATGGCGATCGGGGCTTTTTTGCGCAAAAGCGCGTCTAGATTGGCACGGACGCTTTTTCCGCAAAAAGTGCTTTTGCGGAAATGCGTCTGTGCCAATCTAGACGCTCTTTTACGAAAATGCTTTTAACAGAAAACTTTTCTGTTAAAAGCATTTTTGGAAAATCTTGCCAGTCTAGACGTAGCCCTGTTGTGTAGCATTACAGCACAGTGTCAGACTAGCTGCCTTCCACCCCAGAAGTGGCTGCATTGCAGCAGGAGGATGAAAAGCACTCGATACAAGAGTGCTGCCTGGTGTTAGCATCACCATAAGCTTGGACCCACCAGGCTTCCACTGGAAAACAGCTGCTTCTCGCCCCTCTGTCATGCCCCCTGCTGCTATATAGGGAGCAGGGAAGGCTCAGATTGGCACAGGTTGGATTCTTTACTGGAGAGGAGTAGCTGACTGTTCTTTACTTGCAGCATGTTAATTGTGTTTATTAAACTGTATGGTTTGCAGTACCCAGTGGCCCAAAGGAGGTTCCCGTCCTGACCAGCATCCCCACCGATCACACCCTTATCCCTGGAGTCGCCATAAATCCAGAGAGAGCAGGTAGGTGCAGCTCAGAGCAGAGGGGTAGCAAGGCCTAGCGGTCTAAGCTGGCGTGGGGAATACTTCTGTCTTCAGCTCTGCCACAGACTCACTGTGCAACTCTGAGGAATTCAGTAATTTGGGGCCCAATTTTTAAACAGTGCTCCATGCTCTAGTAAATGGGCAAACATGGGATGAATCTGGGCATGCAAATCCTGGATATGCGTACCTAAGTAGCCAGTTTAATGTGTAGTTGGCTACTGGCTTGTCCAGACACTTGATCTGTGCACACTACAGGGGCAGTTGTACATGCAAATTAGGTGCCAATTGTACATACAGCTTAGTTTATGCGATTGGACACTTATTAAAAAAGAAACCAGGATGTTAGCCTTTGTGCCTCAGTTTCCCCAGAACATGGGGATAATAATGCTCTCTTGACACTGCGGCTGCGCAGGTTAAGAAAGACTTTCAAAGGGCAGCTCAACATCCAATTCTCTGTGTGGAAGTCAGGCAGAACTGGTACCTAGTTCCCCTTTGTGCCTTTTAAAAAAACCCTCGCTAAGTAGTGTGTATAGAGCACGTTGAGCATACAGGGTCATCCCCCAACTTCTGTGGAATTGCTCCTGCTGTACGCCAGTGAAGGTGCCTCTACACAGCAAAGTTAGTTTGGAGTAACGGCCGTTATTCTGAAATAACAATGCGAGCGTCTACACAGCAATTCCGTTATTTCGAAATAATTTTGAAATAACGGATGGCTTATTCTGACTTCTGTAAACCTCATTCTACGAAGAATAACGCCTATCCATGTGTAGACGCTCCACTTCTGCTATTTCAGAATAGCCCCCCACCAGGGCCATTCTAAGTTATTCCTCCTGGGGGTGTAAATTGAGATAACGCATCTGCATTAGGGAAGCTGCCTCGGACTCATTTTGAGGCTTCCCTGCAGTGTAGACGTGCTATTTTGAAATAAGCTATTTCGGAAAACTATTCTGGAATAGCTTATTCCGAAATAACTGCAGTGTAGACGTAGCCCGAGAGAGCAGGATCCGTCCCCTTTGGCGCTAACAGCATCCAGTATTGGATCTTAGTTCAGACTGACGTGTCTTCTCCCCTCTACCCTGAGCTCCTGCAGAGTTGGTCAGGGCAGTGGTCAGGAGCCTGTTGCGGGTGCTTGGCTCACACAGGTAGGGGCTGAAATGAGTTTGTAGCCAATGCCTGAGCCCTGCGTCCTTGTGCTGGACCACTCCAGCTTCATCCCACACAAGCCATCCTCCTCCTGGTGCCGACACCAGAGCAAACAGACAGTGACACCGCAGGGAATCAGGCCCTTTAAGTAAAGGTAGATCTGCCCAAACTCCGCTTGCACTAATAGTGGTGTCAGTCTGGAGTTTACATTTACACAGGTGCAGATGAGGTCCTTGTTTAAAGCAAGATGGGGAGGGATGAAAGCTCAGCTCCTCTTCCTCTGCTAAAAGCGGCAAAGTTTTCTCCTCCCCCTCCTCCTCTGCGGATGCAGGAGGAACTACACCTCCCCTTTCAATCTCCTTTAACCAGCATTTGGCCCTTGGAATTTAGTTTTCAGGCTTCCACCTGCCCATTGATTGCAACACGGAGGGGAACAAGTCATGAAGCCTGTTTCATGCGGTCTGTATTGTCATCAAAAGGAGCAGGATTAAATAACAGGTTTTTAAAAGCCCTGCCCTTAGGAAAAGTTTTCTGGAATTTTTCCCTATGGTTTTGGGTCAAGCTGCATTTCTAAAAACACTGTCCTGACTATGATCCTAGAGTGGCCTAATCAAGAGTCAACCTCTGAAGCCAGTAGAGTCACAGTGGGGTAAATCAGGAGTCACTCCCCTGCACCCAGTGGAGTGACAAGGGCATAGAACAGGTGTCAAAGCAAAAACAGATTCTTTAGCCCAGGGATCCATTTCACAAAGTTTCCACCCTTCACCTTCAGCCATGGCTGCAGATGGCTCCTGTTGGGGTCAGGGCTGCTTCCTCCATGGCAAGGACAGAGCTTGGACCCTCTGCAACAGGGGCTGGGAGCAGTGCATCCCCATGAGAGGGGGGCAGAAGGAGTGACTGGTGCCCCCTCACAGCAGCAGAGACAGAGGAGCCCTTTGCTGAGTCCTGGCTTCTTTCCCCAGGCTCCATGGTACTTGTGATGCTGCTGATCGGGGGCTTTGTGCTGCTCTCGTCTGGCCTCCTGCTGCTGGCTTTCTTCTGCCGTAAGAAGAGGTGGGTGAGCCTCCCCCTCCCTCCTGCATGCCCGGTTCCCTCCATCATCTCCTCACATGCCTTGCAAGGAGTCCCAAAGCAGGACGTTCTCCCACAGGAGCTGACTTGTCCCTCACCCAGGACAGCAGGGGCAGAGTTTCTCCTGAAACAGAAGCTGCTGCTGATAGAAGTCAGAGCTGGGCTCTTAGGACCATGTGGTCAGCACTCCCCCCCTCCCCCCCCCAGGCTGGGCTGGCCACAGGCAGTCCCTGCTGACCATGCCTCTGCAGGGGCTGTCCCCACAACATGCCTCTGCAGGGTCTGTCCCTACCTGGATGTGGCCCACCCTGTGCGAAGCTCAGTGCCAAACTTCTGGAGTTCTGAGGGCGGCACCTAAGATGAAGGCCCTCCCCCAGAACAGTTGCTGGGTCTCATGCTCCTGAGCCTTGGTAGCCAGTGCCCGAGATGCACAAGCCATTCACCAGCACCCCCTGCAGGCCTCAGTGACTTACAGCCCCAGCCTCTCAATGGGGGACCCTCGTGGCTCCGCCGCTCTGGGCCTGCTGTGCGGCCCCTCTTTCGTGGATGGAGAAACTGATGCTACGTGAGGCAAAGCGAGCTACCTGCACCGTACAAGAATAGAACCTTGGTAGCCAGTGCCCGAGATGCACAAGCCATTCACCAGCACCCCCTGCAGGCCTCAGTGACTTACAGCCCCAGCCTCTCAATGGGGGACCCTCGTGGCTCCGCCGCTCTGGGCCTGCTGTGCGGCCCCTCTTTCGTGGATGGAGAAACTGATGCTACGTGAGGCAAAGCGAGCTACCTGCACCGTACAAGAATAGAACCCAGGAGTCCTGGCTCCCACTGCCCCATGCTAACCACTGAGCCCTGCTGTTGCATTCATGCCCCTGCCTTTGGATTTTCCCATTTCTCCCCCCTTCATGCTGGCAGCCACAGTAGGTATGTGGTTGTCCAAAGCCCAGTTGCCTATGCAGCCTGACCTGCTCATGGCACCACAAGGCACAGGCAATCGGACCCACAGCTGGAGAATTCCCTGGGGTTTGAGTGGCGAGTTCAGAGGAACCCTGACTCCTTGGGCTCCGGCGCTTCTTTCCCAGGAGCCTGCAGGAGCTGAAGCTCTGCAGGAACCGATCCGGAGCTTGGTGCTCCGCTGAGCCTAGGAGCTCTGGACCCCTGAAGCTCCCGTCTCTTGACCCCTGAAGCTCCCTGTAAACCGAATCAGGGATCTTGCGCAAAAGGGTTTTTTCCGACAAATGGCCCCGTCTACACTGCGGTTTTTTTTCGCAAAAACCTCTTCCGCAAAAAGGATCGGGATTTGCTAATGAGCGCTTCATTTGTATTTCCTCTTCCTCAAAAAACAAACAGTGTAGACGGAGCCTGACTCAGTTCAGCTCTGAGAGGGCTCAGCTATATGGGCTCAGCACCCAGGAAACCAGCCCTCAAAAGGGACCAAACCCCAGATGAATCCATCTTACCCTGTGTAAAAGTATGGCCCAGAGAAAGCTCACAGGTCTACCCACCTATCAGTGGAAGGGAGGTACGCAGCCTGGTTGCTCCCCACAGGTAACAGTTATTTACACTGGGCTTGATAATAAACACTAGAGCTGTGTCTACACTGGCCACTTTTTCCGGAAAAGCAGCCGCTTTTCTGGAAATACTTGCCAGCTGTCTACACTGGCCACTTGAATTTCCGCAAAAGCACCGACGATCTCATGTAAGATTGTCAGTGTTTTTGCGGAAATACTATGCTGCTCCCGTTCAGGCAAAAGTCTTTTCCCAAAAAACTTTTGCGCAAAAGGGCCAGTGTAGACAGCTCAGATTTGTTTTCCACAAAAAAGCCCCGATCGCGAAAATGGCGATCGGGGCTTTTTTGCGGAAAAGCGCGTCTAGATTGGTCACAGACACTTTTCCACAAAAAGTGCTTTTGCGGAAAAGCGTCCTGCCAATCTAGATGCGCTTTTCCGAAAATGCTTTTAACGGAAAACTTTTTCGTTAAAAGTATTTCCGGAAAATCATGCCAGTCTAGACGTAGCCTAGTGGTTTTATTAAATATAAATAGCAGGATTTAAGTGGTTGTGAGTGAAAACAGTCAAATCAAAGTTACTAGATTAAAATGAACAAAAATCCTCTAGCTAGTTCTAATCCACCAAGGGTACGCCTACACAGCAGTGTTAGTTCAGAATAACTGACGTTACTTCAAAATAACAGAATCCGCATGCGTCTACACTACAAGCAGTTATTTCAGCATAATTCGAAATACTATCGAGCTGGAAGACTCCTTACTCTGACTCTCGTATCCCACATTGTACAAGGAGTAAGGGAGGTCGGAGGAAGAGTGCTCTCCCTCGGACTTCCTGCTGTATAGACAGCACCAAAAGGCAAATTAAGCTATGTCGAGGGAAGCTATGCAATTGATGTAGCTGAAGTTGTGTTGCTTATCTCGGCTTTCGCCCTGCTTTGTAGACGGGCCCAAGAAACTTGTCACATGCAAATTCTTACCCTAAACAGCTGGTCTTATCTCAGGTAAAAAGCCTCAAATCAGAGTTGGTCTTTACTCTGGTCTGGGTCTACAGCTTCTTCAAAGTCCTATGTATCCTCTTAGGGTGGGCCAGGCAGTTTCAGAGGCCAGCTGAAGACAAAGGACTGATGGCTTCCCACTACTTAAACAGACTTTCCCCCTTTGTTCCACACCCCCCATCTCCATGGAAAAACACCGGGTTCAAGACGGATTCCAACCCAAGGTGGCCCGGTCACATGTCTTTCTAGAGCCAGCCGCAGTTTGGGTTTATAGGACAAACATAACCATCTATAGTCCTTGGTTTGAGTAGCAGTCATTGTTTCCGGAGCATCAGTAATAGCCCTTATTAGCACATTTACTATTATAAACAGATCCACACTTCATATTTCTAAGGTCACATGCAAGACTGGTACATGCACAAAACTAGGACATGCAGACTCAGCAGATTGTAACTGTAAAACCGATATGTTACATGACCTGTTCTGCATAAAGCATCTTTGAGTTATGCAGATTCATGTCCATAAGCCAATATTCAGAAATGCTGGAGGGGGGGCTGACACAGATTTTACCCTGTGCTAGTTTGGAGCAAATGGGCTATGCGCTATCCCCTGGCCATGTGCTGGCTTCTTGGGTGCTTGGACGGTGCGGCGCTGCTGTGGACTTGCCTTATTTTCCCCCTTTCTTTTGGCAGGAAGACAGCGGCTGATCTGAACTGCAGCCTCATGAAAGGTAAGTGCCCCCTGACGCCCAGGATTGGAGCAGCTGGGTGGGCTGGAAGCCAGCTGGCAAACAGTCAGCCCATGGCTTTCCTGCGAGGCCAGAAGAGCTGGACTCCGGGAGTGGGTGATTTCCACCTTAGCAGCGAAACGAGTTGCTCTGGGTTAGCATTTCCTAGTGAGCCTGCTCGCACGCTCCTCAGCTACAGCAAAGCAGCACTTCCCAAGCCCCTTGGAGCTCAGCCGGGCTGCTCCTTGCTTAGGAGGCATTTTACTCCCCCACAAATACATGAAGACCACAATGTTCAACTGCAGCCTCTCATTCTGGGAGCCGCTTTTGTGTCCCGAGTAGTATTTAAGTACCTACCTCCCCTTGAAATCAATGGGAGAGAGGCACCTACATACCTTGAGCCTGATTTTCAGCACCATTGACCACCCACATCTCCTGAGTTCAGCTGGAGTCATGAGTTCGATCTCTCCATCTTACAATGGCCCCAGCTCAGCATCTTCCACTCTTTAGTTATCCTTGGAGACCTCTGGGGGGCAGGGCAGTCCTAGTATCCCCGTGAGGCAGATGAGGAACTGAGGCACAGAGCACAGCTAAGGGACTTGCCCAAGGTCATGTAGGCAGTCTGTGGCAGAGCAAGGATGCAAACTCAGGTCTTGCACAGTCTAGACAGGCCTGCTCATCACTTGGCCAGCCTCTTCCTTAATTCTGCAGCAAATCAGGCCCAAGGCGTCTCACATTGGGCACCCTGAAGCAGCAACCACAATGACAAATGTTGGCTTAAATCTTTAATTACAGCCTTGCAATGGAATTCCCATCACCTCCCACCCAGGTGTCACACAAACCCACTTCTCTGCCAGCACTGATATTTCAGGGGATTATCTGGGCAGGTGCCTTTCCTGGCCCATGGCTCTTTGTGACACACAATGAGCTCTACACAAATTCACTGGCCTCCACGGGGCCCAATTCTTCACTGCCCCTGACCTCAAGGTGCAGGGCAGGGGAGAAGCAGCCCAAAGCCTGAAGTGTCTGCACTTAGCTGCTCTTCCCATCACCAGACTCTTACTAGCCCCACCTGGGAGTTGTCTCTATTAGAAAAGCAGCTCTGATATAAGCAGCTCTGTTTTAAAATCCACTTGGTAACACTGCAGCTAGGGCTTCTGTGCACAGCCAGCTAGTGTGGGGCCAGCTGGACTGAAACTCTGCAGGTGCTAGAGCAACCCTGGCACCAGCTGGCAGAGGGTGTAAAGGGTGCATGGGGCATTGTGTGCTTTGACAGGCTGCTATTTGCAAACAGCAGGCCAGAGCCCTGAACACCCCTCGGTTGTTGCACACCAAGGCTGCGTCTAGACTGGCAAATGCAAAATCTTACCGCCTGTCTACACTGGCCGCGAGTATTTGCACAAGAACACTGACCTTGTACTGTACAAAATCAGTGCTTCTTGCACAAATACTCTGACGCTCCCACTCAGGGATAAGCCCTCTTGTGTAAGTATCCTTGCACAAGAGGCCAGTGTAGACAGCAAGTTAATTTCTTGCGCAAGGAAGCCCAATGGCTAAAATGGCCATTGGAGCTTTCTTGCGCAAGAGAGCGTCTACGCTGGCACGGATGCTTTTGTGCAAAAGATGTGCTTTGCACAAAAGCATCCATGCCAGTGTAGACGCTCTCTTGCGCAAATACTTTTAACGGAAAAACTTTTCCGTTAAAAGTATTTGCACAAAATCATGCCAGTCTAGACGCAGCCCACGTCCCCCTGTGGACAAGCCCAGAGACGCTGCCTGAGCGCAAGGTAGCATTTCTTAGTGGATAGTGCCAACAGGCCTGGTGGGTGACCTTGGGGAACCCATTTCCCCTCTCTCTGCCTCGGTTTTTCCATCTGTGAAATGGCATTAGTGACACAGGGCCTGGCCCTTTGATTGCTGCTGCTGCTGGAAAAGGGCTTGGTATTGTTATTAAAACAAGTTAACGTTATTGGTAGTTATAGAACCCAAGAATCCAGATGCCCAGGCCTGCCTGTTAGCCACAGGGCTGTTGTTTTTCCCAGCACTTTGCTGACCCACTGTTGCTCTTCTCTGGCCTGGTTTGAGAAATGGCCTGTAATTTTGCACCCACTATTTTTCTGTGCCACCCGTCTCTCCTCTGCTTGGCAGCCCTAATGCTGCAGCTGCGCCATGGGCCTCCTGCTCAGCCTTGGGGAGGAGAAGAAAAGCCTCGTGACTCATGGAGGTTGGGGGTTCTGCCTCTCTCCTTAGGGTACCCGAAGCTGGACTCCGGCCAGGTGTGCTCCAGTGGAAGTCTGCAACAGTCCAGCTCTGAACTGACCTCGTTCCCACTGGCTGGGACCCCAGGAGAACTCAGTGGGGCTCATTCACCAGGTAATGGGGAGTTGGGTGTTTAATTAGAGCAGGGATGGGCAGCCACAAATGGTGGGTGGGCCACAAGTAGCCCTCCTTCATCTAGGTGGGCCTCAGCAGCACCCCCATGGTGCTCAGCCCCCGTCTGCCTCCCTCCCCCACAGACCTCATGCACGGGGCGCTGGAGCCCCACACTTATGGAGCTCCTTCCCCTTTCTCCTGGCGCTTCTGAAGTGTGCAAATGGCCTGATTAAATCTCCGGTCCTGCTCTTCCCCCTCCCCCACAGAGTGAACAGCTGATTCGTGGGATTCCAGCTCTGGGAGGGAGAGGGAGAAGCAGGTACAGAGTGTGAATTAGGGGATTCACATTTCCTCCAAAAGTGCTAGGAGGGAGAGGGAGACGTAGGAAGTGCGGGGCTCCAGTGCCCCATGGAACTTGTGATCTAGTGACTTCGCAGCTGAGTGCCCCTGCCAGCAGACGGTACTGGTACCACTACCCCAGCCAGCCCAGCTCAGCCATAGGGCTCAGAAAAGACCCACAGAGCAAGCAGAGACAGCAATGCGCTGGCTAACTGAGAGGCTACGTCTACACTGGCATGATTTTCCGGAAATGCTTTTAACGGAAAAGTTTTCCATTAAAAGCATTTTCGGAAAAGCGCGTCTAGATTGGCAGGATGCTTTTCCGCAAAAGCACTTTTTGTGGAAAAGCGTCTGTGGCCAATCTAGACGCGCTTTTCCGCAAAAAAACCCTGATCGCCATTTTCGCAATTGGGGCTTTTTGGTGGAAAACAAATCTCTGCTGTCTACACTGGCCCTTTTGCGCAAAAGTTTTTTGGAAAAAGACTTTTGCCCAAACGGGAGCAGCATAGTATTTCCGCAAAAGCGCTGACAACCTTACATGAGATCGTCGGTGCTTTTGCAGAAATTCAAGCGGCCAGTGTAGACAGCTGGCAAGTTTGCGGAAAAACTTGCCAGTCTAGACACAGCCAGAGGGTATAAGGGGGGAGGTGAGCCTCCCATGCCAGTGAAGAGCTGCCTTAGTAGTGAATCTCCCAGAGGATTCCAGCCCCCAAACCACTGCCTGGGATGGAGATCCTTCTGGTGTGGGCTGAGGATGGACAGCCAGAGGGACCGAGAACTGAAACAGATGACTCTGCCATGCAGGGCTTCTGGGGCTGTACATACTCCCTGGTGGGGAAAATCTTGTTTATCCCACATCAAGCATCCCCCATGATCTTCCTGCTAGAAGAGCTAGCTGTGCAGGAAAGGATGGAGTTCAGTCTCCCGAGCCAGTTGGCCCTGCCCTCCCCAGCCACCAAGAGCAAGGGGGGCACTGTGGGTGGTGGATTATCTGACGTGAACTGCTGCTCACTGCATGAAACCCACTCACCTGCCATGGTCACTTGTTTATCCCACATCAAGCATCCCCCATGATCTTCCTGCTAGAAGAGCTAGCTGTGCAGGAAAGGATGGAGTTCAGTCTCCCGAGCCAGTTGGCCCTGCCCTCCCCAGCCACCAAGAGCAAGGGGGGCACTGTGGGTGGTGGATTATCTGACGTGAACTGCTGCTCACTGCATGAAACCCACTCACCTGCCATGGTCACTGGTGCTCCAGGCAGATTCCATCCAGCCTAGCGATGAAAACACTCAGCTCCCATTGTCATTGCCAGCGCAGCTGCAAAGAACAGCTCCTGTGTCTCCCCCATGGAAACCGTGGCCTGGCTTCCGCTCAGCCCTTGGCACAAACAGATCCAGGAGGACACGTTTGCTACCCAGGCCCAGCGCCTGGTCAGGACACTCTGCCCTTATGCCCACCTGCCTGAGTGTTCGCAGAGAGATCTGCCTGGCTCTCTGCATCCGTTTTCGCACATGCCAGGCCTTGCCTGCCCTGTGGTTTTGCCCCACCTTCTGCTGGCAGTTGGAGTCACTGCACAGGCATGTGCCCCTCCTGCAGACAGACCCTGCCGGCAAGAAGAGCCCGATCCAACCAGAGGGTTTTCTTCTCTACATGAGGGGATCACACCAGTACTGCTACCCTGGTGCCTGTACCAAACCCCAGTCGCAGGCAATGCTGGGCCCAGCTCCTCCAAGGCATATAGGCACCTAGCTCCCATTCATTTCTGCAGGATTTTGGCACTAATTACAACTGGGCCTCACGCTGCAGTGATGGGATGGAATAAGGTCTCTGATCTCTCTCTGAGATAGGTTCCTCCCTGCCCCTGAGCTCAGCTTGGTGTATGGCTGGGGAGAGGGGCAGCTTTATACCACCATGCTGGGTCAGCTCAGCCTGCAGTGCAGGGCCCAGGAGCCCTAATTCATGCCAGCTGCCGGGATGCCAGCAGCTGGGTGTAGACAGGATCATCTCCGCAACAGCTCCCTCCCTCGTGTGCCACGGGCTGCCCTGCCAGAGGTGTGCCACTCTGCATCTGCTGGGGGCCTTCTCGTCAGGGTATCCTGGGGTATCCATTGATGGCTGCCTGACATACATCACCATACGTGCTATAAAGGCTCTGCAGGTCAACCTGGAATCCAGGGAGGTTGGTGGCAGTGGGATGGTGTCCAAGCAAACTCACCAGCCTGTCAACCCCCTCACAACAATCACCCACTTCCAGCAACTCTGCCTCAGTCCCCCCTTCCGGCCCCCCCCTTACACACTCTGGCTACGTCTAGATTGGCATGATTTTCCGGAAATGCTTTTTGGAACAGAGCGTCTAGATTGGCACGGACACTTTTCCGCAAAAGCACTTTTTGCGGAAAAGCGTCCGTGGCCAATCTAGACGCGCTTTTCCGCAAAAAAGCCTGGATCGCCATTTTCACGATCGGGGCTTTTTTGCGGAAAACAAATCTGGGCTGTCTACAAAAGGACTTTTGCCCGAACGGGAGCAGCATAGTATTTTCGCAAGAACACTGACAATCTTACATGAGATCGTCAGTGCTTTTGTGGAAATTCAAGTGGCCAGTGTAGACAGCTGGCAAGTTTTTCCGGAAAAGCGGCTACGGAAAAGCCATACAGACACACTCAGCTGTTTGGCACAGCAACAGTGGGTCTCATCTCACAACTCTGGGCAAGTCCCTCGCAATCTCTCCCCTTCTGGGGCAGTAAAGAATCTTGCAGGCTGGAAGGCCCTTATCCAGGATCGGATTAACGGCCCCGGCCCCAGCCCCAGCCCCAGCCTGGGCTCAGTGGTCCTTGCCCTTTTATCTGTGCTAGGGAGGACTGGGGGCCTCAGGCCCATCCTCCCTTCTGGGATCCAGGTCCAAGCCCCAGAGGAAGTAGCTGGAATCTCCCGGCCCATTACTGCTTCCCTGCCCAGCTTCCTGCCACCGGCCATTGCTGAGACTCAGCTGCGAGGATCTGGCTTCTCAGGCATCTTCTGCCCAGACTGCTGCTGAAGGATTTGCCATGCACCCTGCGGTCTTCAAGGCCAGTCCCAAGCTATACGGCAGTTCTCCTCTCTCATCCTACTGCCTCCCATTGGCCCTGCCGTCCTTCCTGGGCACAACACAGCCACCCTGGTTCTCCCCCCCGGATCTAACCCTTAACGACCTGCCAGTCTTCCCTCCAGGTGTCACGATGGGCACTTTGGCCTCTCCAGCGCCCTTTACCACTCTCACTGCTGGCGAGGGGTTTGGACACCCAGTCATGGGGTCTCTACCAGGCTGTGTCTTTCTCTCCTCTGAAGGTTTGGGAGGGGGTTATCCCTCCTTTATCCCAGCTTACCTCCGCCCTGAATGGTTCATTTGGTCTCCCAGTCGGGACCCTCGGAGGCTGAGTCCCAGTGGTTGGGTTTGTTTAACCATAGATTGTTCAGGGCAGGGCTACCCATTGTCCAAACACAAAGTTAAACCATGAGGGAAGGGGCCTTTTACTGACCATCCTGGGTAAGCGAGCTGCTGCTCTCCGCACAGGTGGACTGAGACAACTGGCCCACTGACTTCTAGGGATGTGAACAGGTAACCGGTTACCCCATCAGCATCACCCTTATCAGTTAACTGGTGCCCGGAAGCAACAGGCTGCAGGCGGAGGGTTGCCCCAGCATGGGCCCGGAACCGCCGGCAGCCTCAGTCCCAGTGTGCAGTGGGGGCAGGGAGTGGGAGTCCCATGGGCTCGGGCTGGTCCAGCCAGGCTGGACCACGTAGTCAGTTAACCGGTTAAACATTAGGTTAACCTGATGTTTAACTGGTTAACTGATTGATTGGGATTTTACCTCCCTACTGACTTCCCATCCCCAAAGGTGACAGGGGAACAAGTGTTGCTGGCCTGGAGGGGGATGGGAAATGGGCTTCAGTCCAGCAGCAAACATCTGGATGCTTGAGCAGGTAGCAGTGCCATCTGTACAAAGGGACTTGTCAGCTGGAAACGACAGGGATGCGGGTTGGTGATCTCTGGGCATCATCTGCCCCAGCTAAGCCCACTCATATCCTGGGGAATGCCTGGCAGAGAGAGAAGTCATCTGCTTTGCTGCATGTGGGTCTGCTACAGGGAGCTGCAATGATCCATAATCTGAGTAGGAGCTTGGCCAGGGCTGGCAGAAAGGTGCCTAGTCCTTTGGGTGGGGGGGGTGGGAAGAGGGAGGCCAGAAGGAACAGGTCCCGCCCTTCTCCTCCCCCAGCTCTGGCAGCTGGATTCCCCAGCAGCAGATGATGGGATCCTTTACAGGCTCAGGCTGGCAAATCTGTGCCCGTTGAATAGGGCCCGCTGGCTCAGGGGCTCAGTTGTCTTTCTAAGGGCTGTGCTGCTTTTTTCTTTGCAGAATATGCTGAGCCTGACGTGGTTCAGGTGAGTCCCAACAGCCAGACAGCCCCATCCACCTTCAAACCCTCCCCGGACGAAGGCTATACGCTCCCGCTGGTACTGAACCACTATGACGTGCCGGGCAAGTACCATGAGTACGCAGAACCCCTGCCACCTGAGCCTGAATACGCCACCCCCTTCACGGAGCAGGCCCTGGAAAGCGTGGGCACCACTGCCAAGAAGAACGTCTGTATCATCAAAGTAGTCCCCACTCCCCAAGGCTGGGCAGGGTTGCTGGCGTCCCCAACGTCCCCAGGGATGCAGCCGCAATATGACTTCCCAGCTCAGCGGCCTGGCGAGACACTGAATGGCACAAGAGGGGAGGGGTCCCACCAACCCAGCATCATGTACACTGAGACCCAGGCTGAGCGGACTCCCAGCCTATGGGTTGACATCCCAGTGGGGCCCACCACCTCCCCTCTCAGCCACATCTACCATGAACCTTTGTGAGGCTATGAAAAGGGAACTCACATCGCACGCTGGGCAGCTGGAGAAGGGGTCTGGCTACACTGGGGGATTCCGCTCTGGGCCTGCAGAGCAAGAAGAAGCTGCCCTGTCTATCACCAGCAATGGGAAACGAAATAGCCATCGGGTTTATAGCACTAAACTGTGTGGAAGAGGCTGATCCGTCCAACTATGTGATTGTTTTGTTTGGGTTGGTTTTGTCCCTTGAACTGAATAGATACTCCAGATCTTTACCTCCCTTTAGGAGTCAAAAGAACAGTGTCAGGATCTAAGATCATATATATCCTTTACCTGCATCACCTGCTATTTTCTTAATATCCATGATTTATACCATGGGCTTTATATAAAGTGAAAGAGCGCCCTCTGCTGCCCTATGAGCTCTCTAATGCCTCCCTCTGGTATTAAAACTTGAATGGAATTTTAAAAACCTCATCAGCACAAGGGCAGTTGGTTTGTTTGCTCTTCTGCCTTTCATGGTGAAAGCAGGCAAGTCAGTTTCATGTTTTGTTTTGAGTTGGTTTATGTTCCTGTGTTTGTTCCTGTCACTGGCAGGGAGATACCTTTCCAGCACAAGCTGGTGTGGGGTGTTTAAATCCTAAAACAAAGGCTGCTCTTCCTTGAAGTATGAAATAAAAAGGGCAGGAAAATATTTTCAGATAAATTAGGGCTTGTAAAATGCTTTTTTTTAACCCACAAATTATGTGTTCTGCATCTGCATGTCACTGACCAGCGGCTCAGTTCAGAAAACAGTGATGTGATGCAGACAAGTCCTGTCAGTTTTAAGGACTGAAATTACTTACGTGTGTCTGCAGAAAGCTATTTAAACTTTGCACCTAGTACCTGTGAAGATCCTGGCTGACCCCTTTTTGAAATCAGCTGTGCAGCAACCGATATATTCAGTACGTACTGGTAAGAGAGATCCAGGGAAACTATAATCAAGAGGAGAGGAATTGCAGTTTTATGCTCTCTCTCTATGAGCTTCTTCGTTGATCAAGTAGGCAATATTTGTAATGTGACAGGCGGACAATGGTTGTAACGCTGAGCGCAATGTTAATTCATTAATTCACCTGGTCCCTGCAATCTTCCAGCCTCTGCTGCTATCCCTGCAATAAGACCCTTGGAAAGGACAAAGCTGCATAGCAACACTGGATGTTAACTGCAGAACTGGGACAGCTCTGAGGACAGGGACCTTGTTGCTCTTCTTAAAGGAATACCAGCACTGGCCAAGCTCAGTGGTGCTGCTTGGGGATAATAGTGTTTGCCAAGGAAAATGTGATCTATAACTGTGTTTCTCTGCTCACTCCTGGCTGACCCTATCTTTCCAACAGCACTGGCTGCCAATTCTTCCAGCTGATGGGGAAGGGAGCCTCAAATCAGTGTTGTGCTTGACACTCTGCTGACAGGGAGAAAAGAATGAACAATAATAATCACACCTAGCTCTTCTAGTATTGCTTTTCATTAGGAGAGCTCAAAGCCCTTTACAACTGAGGGCAATATCCTTATCCCCATTTTAAAAATGGGGAGACTGAGGTACAGAGCAGGCATTGACTTGCCCAGGGTCACCCAGCAAAGCCATGGCAGAGCCAGGTATAACATTCAGGTCCCCTGAGTCCCAGTTCAGTGTTCTATCCACTAGGCCATATTGCCATACCCATTGTCTGCCTTCACCCGGTACAGAACCACACGTGTACGTTCCTCCAGAAATGCACACACCCTGATATACAGTTTGCTGTGCAGCTTTCCTCCATGCAAACCCCTTTCATTCTGAAACACTCCCATAGGCGCACACAGCTCTGGCAGCACTCCACAGCATGGAAAAGCCCTGTTGCTTTGGCAGCAGCCTTAGGACTGGTAGGGGGGGTTTGTTAATATTCCAAGTATCTCAGGGCACATGTGTCTCATTGGCTTTGATGCAGATCTAGCCGGCACAGTAACTCCTCACGCACATGCACAGAATGATGCAGCAAAGTCGAGGGCAGGCTCTGCAATGCTATGTCTACACTGGCAGGTTCTTGCTCAAGAATGGCCATTCTTGCGCAAGAACCTGCAGAGCGTCCACACTGCCCGCCCGCTCTTGTGCAAGAAGGTTTACAGTACGGTGTCGGAAGACAGGGCTTCTTGCGCAAGAGCTATGCTCTTTTCTAACAAGTGTAAGCCCTCTTGCGCAAGAGGGCAGTGTGGATGAGCAGCAGGAGCGTCTTGCACAAGAAAGCCCTATGGCTAAAACGGCTCTCAGAGCTTTTTCACGCAAGAGAGCATCCACACTGCCATGGATGCTCTTGTGCAAAAGCACATGGCAGTGTGGACATGTTCTTGCACAAGAATCCTTGTGCAAGATGTTCTTGCGCAAGAACCTGCCAGTGTAGACATAGCCCAAGTGACTTCGTGTGTGAGCAACTCTTTTCAAGTTCAGTACCAAGGCCCCTTTGTGGTGTTTGAAAACCCATCCCAATCCCAAGTCTACCTACCTTGTTTGTTTTCACTGAAACAGTCACCTTCCCTGCAGCATTGTGATCGTGTTAAACCTTTCACCCTCTTGGGCTGTGTCTACACTGGCCGCGAGTATTTGCACAAGAACACTGACTTTGTAATGTATAAAATCAGTGCTTCTTGTGCAAATAGTCCAACGCTCCCGCTCAGGGATAAGCCCACTTGCACAAGTATTCTTGCGCAAGAGGGCCAGTGTAGACAGCCACGTTAATTTCTTGCGCAAGATAGCCCGATGGCTAAAATGGCCATCGGAGCTTTCTTGCACAAGAGAGCGTCTACACTGGCACAGAAGCTTTTGCGCAAAAGCAAATCTTTTGTGCAATGGCACATACCAGTACAGACGCTCTCTTGCGCAAATACTTTTAACAGAAAAACTTTTCCGTTAAAAGTATTTGTGCAAAATCATGCCAGTCTAGATGCGGCCTTGGCGTCAGAAAGCAGGCCACTGGGGATGTGCAGTAAGGCCCTGATCCATCTTCCATTGAAATCAACAAAAGACACCCACTGATTACAGTGCTTCAGTTTTGCAGCTCCCCAGGTTTGGGGGATGCTGTTCCAGAGGCCTCATGGTGCGTCAGCTTCACTGGGGGGTCACAGTACCTGGGGAACTGGGGGTCACTGGGGACACAGTAGCTGGATCTCCCCAGATAGCAATTGACTGATTCCAAATAAAAACCCCACTCATCTAACTGCCCAGCTCCAGTCCCTCTGGAAGACGAATAGGCCATATCCTTGGCTGATGGAAATCAGCATTGCTCAGTGGAGCTTCGCACCAGTGGAGTATCTGCTGTGAATGGCCTACGAGGAGAGGCTGAGGGATTTGGGCTTATTTAGTAGCAGAAGAGAAGAGTGAGGGGGGATTTGATAGCAGCCTTCAACTCCCTGAAGGGAGTTTCTAAAGAGGCTGGAGAGTGTTCTCAGTGGTGACAGAACAAGGAGCAATGGTCTCAAGTTACAGTGAGGGAGGTCTAGGTTAGATATTAGGAGAAACCTAGGAGCATGGTGAAGTACTGGGCTGGGTTCCCTAGGGAGGGGGTGGAATCTCCATCCCTAGAGGTTTTTAAGTCCCGGCTTGACAAAGCCCTGGCTGGGATGATTTAGTTGGGGTTGGTCCTGCTTTGGGCAGGGGGCTGGTCTCTTCCAGCCCTAGGATTCTATGATTAATTAAGCGTTAGGTTTTTTTCCATCTTCTCCTCCCCTGTGACGGGTTGCATCCAGTTCTGTTTTCCAGTGAGTTTTTGCCTTTTACCCTACTATGCTATTTGTCACAGACACAAATGGCCTCCTGTGGGCAAGCCATGAAGTTCTGATGGGATTAATCTATGGGCTTTTCATTGTATAGTACATGGCTGTTCATTCATTAATCTTTTCAATACTCCTGGGAGGAAGCTAGGAATCATTATTCCCATTTTACGTGTGGGGAAAACGAGCCACGAGGTGGCAAAGTGAATTTCCCACAGTCACTCACAGGTAGCAATGGGGTTAGAACTCAGCTGCTCCTCTCTTCTGTCTTCATTCCTCTGGCCTAACATTGCCTCTCAAAGAAATCACAAACCTCCCAATGCCTAGACCTTTGCTTGGCCTCTCAACCAACTGAGCCTCCGTTACTTCCCCCAAGGAAGACAGAAAGGCGGGAGGCAGCAGCCAGCTTACAGCTCCTCCCTCTTGGCTACAAAATGTGCTGGGCTTCAGGATCCATGCGCTTGGTTACAGTGACTTTCTTCCTAGCGCTCCTGCCCAAAGCCTGTGGACGTGGGTTACTGTAGGCAGTGTAATCATTTTCCCCTAACATCTGTGCAATAAAAATTATTTGCACCAGCAGGGAAAATACTGTCTATGGCTACGTCTAGACTGGCATGATTTTCCACAAATGCTTTTAACAGAAAAGTTTTCCATTAAAAGCATTTGCGGAAAAGAGCGTCTAGATTGGCACGAACGCTTTTCAGCAAAAGCACTCCATGCCAATCTAGACGCGCTTTTGTGCAAAAAAGCCCCAATCGCCATTTTCGCGATCAGGGTTTTTTTGTGCAAAACAAATCTCAACTGTCTACACTGGCCCTTTTGCACAAAGCTTTTGCGCAAAAGGACTTTTGCCCGAATGGGAGCAACATAGCATTTCTGCAAGAAACACTGATTTCTTACATGAGATTGTCAGTGTTCTTGCAGAAATTCAAGCGGCCAGTGTAGACAGCTGGCAAGTTTGCGGAAAAGCTTGCCAGTCTAGACACAGCCTATGAGTATTTTAAAAGGAAAAAAAAACCAGTTTTTGTCCAAAATTAAAGTTTTTGTTTCAGCCACATTTTTTCAGGTTTTTATCAAAAACCTGAACATTTTTGTATTTTTCAGTTTCGGGGAGTTCTTCCTTTCTTTTTTTCTTAGTGGAAAAAGGGGAGAATTAAGGGAAAGACAAAGAGGAAATAACAAAAAACAGAACAATGAAAGTTTTTGAAGACTGAAAAACTATTTAGTTTTTTCAGTCCTCTCTCCCTCCCTTCGCTCCCCCCAAAAAATAAACAAATTGAAAATTGCAGGGATATAATGCTGTCTCCACTGAAGTCAATGGCAAAAATCCCATTGACAATCATGGCAAAAATTTGTAAACAATGTCAAAGAACCAAGTACCCAGAGAATTTCACAATGTGAATGTTTTGCAAGCAGAGCAAATCTAGTATTTCCTGGGAAATGTTTATGCATTTCTAACACAAACTTCCCTTTTCCAAACAATGCATTGACAGGAGCCTTCAGCATCATTATCTGGAGTGCACAGTTGCTCACAGCAGGATGTTTCTACTGGGTTACTTTTCTGAGTGCAGTCCCTCAGCACACAAGATTAGCGCTTGTCCTGTCATTTGAAAGTTCTGCCATTTAAACTATGTAGACTTTAACATTTTTAAGATTCATATTTAAAAGATAAAAATCTTCATAGAATCTATCCATCCATCCCTGTACACCCCCTTAGCTATCTGTCCCCATAACAATCTTTATCTCTCTAATCCTCATATTAATATACCTTTTATTTATCAAATAATGACACAAACAGTGCATGTGGCTACGTAGTGGCTGTGTCTACACTGGCCACTTATTCCGGAAAAGTGGCTGCTTTTCCGGAATAACTTGCCAGCTGTCTACACTGGCCGCTTGAATTTCTGCAAGAACACTGACAATCTCATGTAAGAAATCAGTGTTTCTTGCAGAAATGCTATGTTGCTCCCATTCGGGCAAAAGTCCTTTTGCGCAAAAGCTTTGTGCAAAAGGGCCAGTGTAGACAGTTGAGATTTGTTTTGCACAAAAAAACCCTGATCGCGAAAATGGCGATTGGGGCTTTTTTGCACAAAAGCGCGTCTAGATTGGCATGGAGTGCTTTTGCTGAAAAGCGTTCGTGCCAATCTAGACGCTCTTTTCCGCAAATGCTTTTAATGGAAAACTTTTCTGTTAAAAGCATTTGTGGAAAATCATGCCAGTCTAGACGAAAAGGATGCCGGTGTAGACATAGCCACACAGTATGGAAACAGTGAACAAATGCATTAAACATAGTACTGTGCCCAGCAAGAGGTCTGCATTTAATCTGCACTGGGAGGCAAGCTGAACCCCTGATCAGCCCTAATCAAGGAAGACAAGAATAATCCAAGCCCCCAGAGGAATTATTTCAGCAGCATCTTTGGATAACCCATTAGACCCCCTCTCTTTGATTCAGATGCTGTGCCAGTCAAAAGATCATTCCCTGGGAGTGTTTTGCAGATGGCAGCAAAATTATGGGAGTGGGACAGCTGTTTTTTACCCTTGATAGGGGAAAATCTGAAAGGGACTAAACTCAGACAGGGAAACCAACTTTAATTTCACTCTGCTAAATGGCCCTCTGTTAAAATAACTGCATGTATCTAATAACAAATCCTCCTCCCCCCTCCCCAAGTAATGCTTCAATAAAATTGAATTGCAGGAATGGATAAATAATGCCTCCGTCAGCATTTAGCAAACAGCAATGCCACGCACAAAAAAAACAGAGCAGGGAAGGAAACATACAGACATTCTGATCTAGGTAGTTAATTATCTAAAGCAAAGAAATGCCATAGGATGAATGTACTTCGTGTCTGGAAAATCACAACAGGTTTTAAAGCAAAGGGGACAACTATATTTTTATTTGAAGTAAAAATAGTTTCTGAACTAGGAACGTAGTCACTACCTTTTACTAAGTATTTCAAATATGTCTCTCCCACGCACGCGCGAAAGTTCGTGGAAAGGGCAAAAATGAAAAGCAGTTATAGCCGAGCGAGAATTTAAAGAGGCTTTTGTGAAATACAGGGTTCCCGACAATACTTTCCCTTACAAACTACTCACATATATTAGCGAGCAGACCCCAGAGAAACAGCAAAAGCAGAAAAGATCGCTTCCACAGTACGCACAACAGACAAACTAACTCTAATTTTAACAGACAACTTCGGGGCGCCGGAACCAACGATTACCAGCAGCCCCAGGAGCAAAAATTGTGCTTCCGAAATCTCTTGATGTCGATTCCGCACGAAGTAAGGAAAGCCGCAGCCACCCCACTCCATGTGTCATACATGACAGAAGCCCTTTTTAACGAGTCGCTGGTGGCTCCGCCTCCCCAGTCTGTGTGTCAGACTTGAAAGTTACAGGGAGATGCTGGTTCGGCTCCCCTAAGGGACCGTGACATTATATCGCACAAGCACCCCGTTTAGGCCCGCCACGTCTCTTGCATGTATGTTACTGTGCTTCACTCATTAATCCTTAAAATACGCGCACCACAGCAGGCATGAGATGCAAATAAGCCGCATGGCATGTTGGGATTTCACCATAGATGACGCAGAGAGGAGCCGGAGGAGGGGCGGGGCCGGAGTGAGGGGGAGGAGGAGTCTTGCTGCCGCTCAAGACAAGGTAAAAAGCTTCCGCCAAACCCCAGGCTGACGGAGCTGCCTGCAGCCCCTGGCTCAGTGATGGGCATGAAGGAGAAACTGGAGGGCTGGAAAAGGGAACACTTTAAAGGGGGCACCTGGATTTGAACCAGGGACCACTTGATCTGCAGTCAAATGCTCTACCACTGAGCTATACCCCCCCCACCCTGAGAAAACCTGCTCACCCAGATGTAAGGCTGTGGAGCTGGGGAACAGCCTGCTGCGTGGCTCTATCTGTAGCACTTTTCTTTGGCTGCCCTCAGCCTCTCCCTTGCTCTGGGTCTTTTCCCCCTTGCTGTATTCACTGGCTCTATTCACTGGCTCGCTCCTTTTTCCTTCCCTCCACTCCCTCTCTGGCGCCCTTCTTCACAGTCAGTGCCCTAGTTGGGGGGGGAGGGACCCCCAGGCCCTGCACGG